GAACCAATAACACTGAATTTGGTTTAGATTCTCAAATCCATTAAAATACAAGAACCAATAACACCTCCTTAAATACAAGGTCTAACCTTGGTATTTGAGTGGATTTGATTTTTTTTCATTTCGCTGATTTTGAAATCGATAAATTTATCAAATCCAAAAAAAATTTCTAAATCCACCAAAATACAAGAACCAATAACCCCTACTAACTTTCTTTGCTTTGAAATAACATAGCGACTGTACTCTAAATATATATTCACATTATCACAAAATTCAATCCTAAAAAGCAAACTTTTAACCGAGAAGTTCTATCGTTTCTTCTCCCCTCCTTCTATTAAATAATCAGTCTTCACCAATTTTCCTTCCACACAACAATCTCATAGACCAAATTTGGTTCCTCTTCCCTTCTTATCTACTCAATCTATCTACGATCACAATAGACTCACTCAAAAAACTTACACCAAATGATTCCTATAGAGAAAACCCAGGAAATAATCATTAATCACCATTCATGAGGACAAAACTTTGGTGGAGAATCAAGTTTCCAATGTTGACAGCACCGTTATCCATGAGGAGAAAGACGAAGGATTCAACGGAGGAAAAACCAGACCAAAGCGGGTCAAAAAAGCACGTAACCAGAAAACCAATCCGAAGAGTTAGTAACAGAGTTTCCCCATTTTCATTCGCATAGCAATAGTGTGGTGACGAGATGGGTTGATAAATAGTGTGGCCAGACTAATCCAAAACCATACACTGAATCAGATAAATATTATTGATGATGGCTGTATATACTCTGAATCTCTATCTAATTTTTTTTTTTGGATGTAAATCTCTATCCAATTTAATAACGTGAACGTACAAAAATCATGTTTTAGTCTGTATGTTTGTAGGAAAGTTAGATCTTTAATTATTCTTCTGAAAATAGTGGTCTTGAGTTTTTATTTACAGCGGAGGCAAGAGATTTGTTCGTCTGTGAAACTTTGATGTATATCACACAACCCTCTCCTTCATTTTCTAACGGTAAGTTATTTCTATCTATATATATGTAATACAGCAAACCTGCATTTAGAAAGTCAGTATGTTACTTATAAGTGCTATTACTTGCACCTGCTGCAGACAATGATTGTCTCGCTTTAGACTATTAATTTGTGAATTTTCTTTTAAGGGTTAGAGTTGATTCTGCAAAAATTTAAAACCTTCGGCCAAATCCACAAAGATATGTTAGGTATGAGTTTTTTTTTTTTTTTTATTTTTTTTCATTTTTGAGTTCACGTGGGTATTGATTAAGATGACATTTTTCATAATTTTCAAACTTAAGATACGTACTGGAAATTATAAATAGTATAGTTTTTATATAATTGATGTTAGGGAAAAAGATCCTTACCAGCGCAAATACAAAATATGCAATTCAATGTGGTGAGGTGACTGTTTTTATAAGACCATTCATAAACTTCTATCTTAAAAGCTTTCATTCTTATCTTTCTTTGTGCTTTGCTGTGTACACAAAATTAAAGTAGTGCATAGATCACGCTAATAACTTAACTAATTGGAATAGTTGAAGTCTAAAAATATAGAAAATTGATGTTAATGGCAAACATCTAAAACTGTTGGAAAAAATATAGATATGGCAACCCGCAAATGCACTGATTTTATATTTGAAGTTTAATCTTCAGAGAAAAAAAAAAGCAAAAGTAAATTTCAAAAGAAAACCAGTTTCGTGCTCGAGTAGGCAGCTCAATTGTTCAGATTGCTTAGAGAGTATGTATGATGATAGTTTCTCAATCCTAAACAATTTACACATAAATAAATGATGAACTTCCATAGAGTAAGGATGTTAAAGACCGCAAAGAATAAAAGGTTTCGTGAAATATTATTATAACAACAATCATATTAACAAAGTGAAATTATCGATATGACAAAGTGTTAATTTGAAGGGAATACTTGACCGTATAAATGTATGGCACATGGGTAGATTATGATTAAAGAAATTGTGGGTATGTGAAGAACAACGAACCTCAAATATATAAACAACATTGACAAGGACTGAATTATGGACAAAAGTTCGAAGGTGTTAGTTAGAAAAAGAGAAAGAGTACGTTCTTATGTGCATAAAAGAAAGAAAAAGTAAAAATAAAAAAGAGACATGAGTTTGATTATACAGCAAGGTTTCACAAGTAACGTAATATATAAGTTAAATTTATATTGGAAAGCAAATATGTAAGCTAAATTCTTTTCATTATTTACTGTCTATTAATTTTTTTTAGATTGAAAAACGACTGTGATTGATCATATGGCTGGTAGGCTGTAGATTTTTAATTTTCATTTTGCTGAAGTAAAATAGTAAAAAAAAATAATCGTGACCTTAGAAAAAAAAATGTTACTGTTTATCTACTTTAGAAAAAATTATCGATCTAACAACAAAAGGTAAAGACAAATTATGTGAGTGTTTTTACGAAAACTTTAATAATTTTAAAGATTTATAAATCAGTAAAATTTTGATTGACTAATATATGACTTTAAGACTTTTTTAAAAGTTGTTTTGCTGATCAGAACCTAAATATAAAATTGTTTTTCTAAAAATAAACTACTGAAAGGTAAAATTGTTTTTCAACTTTATTTTTATTTATTTGGTTTAACACTTTTTAATGGAACAAAACAATCTACATTATTGTGAAAAACAAATTTGTTTTTTCCATATAATCAATCATAATTCTCTATAATCAATTATTAATAATTAAATATTTATTTCTAAAATCTAAATAAAAATATATATCTAAAAACAAATCTGCGCGTAGCGCGGAGCATACCCTAGTTAATGTTCTAAAATTACAACATATTGAATCGTGAAAATAGGGGGCCATTAATGCCACATGGCAAACATAGAGTGGCTAGCTCTAAAATCTGTGTTGCAAGCACCTATGAATTTATATACATACATAAATTATCTAGATTGCAGATACATGTAAGCTTTTGATTAGTTATAGATATTTTGCATACTTTTTATCTCAGCCCAATAATTTAGATCAATTATTGTATTGTATATTAAAATTTTATATCAAAATTTAATATTTTTTATTTTCTATAAATAGAGACTTATTTCATTTAATTTGGACATAGAAAAAAAATTATTCTTTGTACAATATTTTTTTAGTAACTACAAAAAAACTTTTGTTAAAGCTTTAAACATTTTTTTTAATGGATCCTAATAATAATCATTTTAACACTCAAAATTTTTTTAATCACCTTTTCTATGTGTGATTTAAATAGTTTATTGTTTACAAGTTAAGTTTATTGTGATATTTAAGTTTTATGTTTTATTGGTTGTGTCAGCATTTTTTATGCTCTATAAATAGAGACTAGTCTCACTTCATTCAAATTATTTTTAAATTTGATTTAAATCATAGATTTAAAATAATATACTTTACACTTTTGCTAATTATTTTTTTATATTATAAATTAAACATAAAAACTACAATCGATAAATTAAAAAATAAAAAAATATATTATATCATACTATGTGAACTATATAGACGAATTATATAGACGAATTATATAGGCGAACTATATAGGTGATATGGAATAGTAGGGTAGGATGTTGAATTTTTTTTAAACAAACCATTGTAGAGTATAAAATGCAAGTAGGTATTGAATTATAAGGTGGAAGAGAGAGATGATGATGTGGAATATAAAATAGGGTATTGATAATATAAACTATTGTAGATAGTCTTACATAGAAGTAAGAAGGGCATTGGATTAATAATTTGGATAAATCTAAATCTATAAATATTTTAATGAATTTAAAGTTTTAAAATATTTTAAACAAATCTTGTCTTCTAAATTCTCTCAAATACCATCATATGAAGTGGTATTTAAATCTATGAATTTTTAACTCTAAATTATCTCTCAAATCATTCCAAATCATTTTTAAAAATAATTCATTAATGAAATCCCAATTTTCTAATAAGGTAAAATTTTAATGAATTTGTATAAATGACTAATCCAATAATAACCTTAGATTTTAAGTAATTTTTTTAAATGCTAAATTCAATAAGAACGGATATAAAAAAAAAACAAAATCATCCCAAATGGTCCCTTGCATATTTGCATGTCTCTTACGTGTGTGCTGTATCTTTCTAGTGGTCATTACAAAATAGTCGAGAGAATAGAATAACCAAAGGCAAGAAGCCAAGAACCCAAAAAACAAAAACAACAAATATTATGGTATTTTCGCAATTTTTTGCAAATAAATGATGTATTTTATGATGGGCTTTTGTAAAAACAAACATGATTGTATTCTATGAAATAATGTTTCATAATATAATAAAATAATATATTGATAAAAGACATACGCAAAATCTATGCTATTTAGAGAAGGAGAAAAGATGAAATAATGTTCAAAAAAATGATAAATGGACTATCCATTTTGTTGATGTGTAAAGTATATTGAATTAGTAACTTGGATAAATCCAAATCTATGAAGATTTAATGAATTTAAAGTTTTAAAATGATTTAAACAAATCGTGTCTTCAGAATTCTCTTAAATACCATTATATGAGGTGGTATTTTAATTTATGTATTTTTCTTTAAATTACCTTTCAAGTCATCTCAAATTATTTTTTAAAAAATTTCATTAATAAAATTCTAATTTTCTAACAAAGCAAAATTTTAATGGATTTGTATAAATGACTAATCTAATAACCTTGAATTTTAAGTAACTTTTTTAAATGCTAGATCCAATTAGAAAGGATTTAAAAAAAAAAAACAAAATCATCCTAAATCATTAATCCAATACACCTCTAGAATCCAAATTGCATGTAGAAGATTTACATAATTAATATTACATGGATATTGTGCATAGAACAATATAAAAAAGAAAAAGATTCCTTCAAATGCAAAGATTTACATAATTAATATTACGGGATTTTTCAGCAAAATAAAAAAAAAATATTACAGGATTAATAATGTATCTTCGAATGGGTCCGACCAACTTCTACGAAATAAGCCAAAACAGTTACTATTTAACTAAGAAGAGCTTCTTTGACATTTCTAATTGGCTTTATTAGTTTATTGCCTCGGAATATTCAGACAAAACACACACACACACAAAGGAAAGAGAGAAGAAAGAAGATCAAAAAAATGAAATCTGAGCTTATCTTCATACCGTATCCAGGAATCGGTCATCTCCGATCAACAGTCGAGATGGCAAAGCTACTAGTCGACCAAGAAAACCATCTCTCCATCTCCGTACTCATCATTCCTTTCATTACCGGAGCCGAAGCCGGCGCTTCTGCTTACGTGGCAGCTCTCGCAGCCTCCTCCAACGACCGCCTCCGCTACCAAATAATTACCGGCGGAGATCAAACAACCGCAGAGCCGAAGATGCCTGACACCCATATCGAGAATCATAAGCCACAGATTAGACTCGCCGTTGCGAAACTCGCCGATGGCTACTCGACGCAGCCAAACTCGCCGAGGATCGCCGGATTCGTCGTCGACATGTTCTGCACCTCGACGACAGAGGTTGCGGACGAGTTCGGCGTTCCGAGTTATCTGTTTTACACCTCAAACGCTGGTATTCTCGCACTCGGGTTTCACATCAAGATGTTGTACGACGAGAACAGATACGACGTCAACGAAAACGATTTCGAAGACTCGGAAGCTGAGTTGATCGTTCCGAGTTTGACTCGTCCTTATCCGGTGAAATGTCTTCCTCCGGGTTTCGCATCGAAAGTGTGGCTCCCGGTCTATATACATCTCACAAGAAAATTCAGAGCGATGAAAGGTATTTTGATAAATACAGTTACTGAGCTTGAACCTAGTGCGTTGAAGTATCTATCGAGTGGTGATACTCCTCCGGTTTATCCAGTGGGACCACTGCTGCATCTAGAGAAACAAGTGGACGAGAAACAACCGGAGATTTTACGGTGGCTGGACGAGCAACCGGCTAGATCGGTAGTGTTCCTCTGTTTCGGGAGCATGGGAGGATTCGGTGTGGAACAAGTGCGAGAAATCGCCGTCGCGCTAGAGCGAAGCGGCCACCGTTTCTTGTGGTCTCTCCGTCGTGCGTCTGAAGATATAATGAAGGAATTTCCCGGAGAATTCACGAACCTGGAGGAGATTCTCCCGGAAGGATTCCTTGTTCGAACGGAGGAGAAGGGGAAGGTAATCGGATGGGCCCCACAGGTGGCTGTTCTTGAGAATCCGGCGATCGGAGGTTTTGTGACTCACTGCGGGTGGAACTCGACGCTAGAGAGTCTCTGGTTCGGTGTTCCGACGTTGGCGTGGCCGTTGTATGCAGAGCAGAAATTCAACGCCTTCGAAATGGTGGAGGAGCTCGGATTAGCGGTGGAGATTAAAAGGTATTGGAGAGGCGATCATTTGGCGGGAGCGGCGAAGCACTTGGTGACGGCAGAGGAGATTGAGAGAGGGATCATGTCTCTGATGGTGCAGGATAGTGACGTGAGGAAGAGAGTGACGGAGATGAGCGAGAAGTGCCGTGTGGCTCTAATGGACGGTGGATCGTCGCGGATTGCTTTGCAAAAGTTTATTGAAGACGTAAAGAAGAATATAGTTTCGCCGGATAAGGAAATATAAACTTGTACGCTCTTGAATAGGCCCAATATGGTTTATTTACAAGATTCGTTTATACGATCTTTGTTTATAAACTTTTAAAAATGTCACAAATTTGTAACGATTTGTAACAAAATTTTGTTACAACTTATTGATGTAATAAATTTTGTAGCTATGCTACTCAATTCTTGTAGTGTTACTACTTTGAAGTGGAGATGGGGATATATAATTATATAGTACGTTACGTACGTATGCATGGAACTTGAACTCAATTCGTACTTTGGGTTTGGTTGTAACTTGTTACCAATTATAAAATGGATTGGAACCTTGGTTGATAATCTCGACATAAATGTTTTTTTTAAACTGTAAACATCAGTTATTAGGGTAACAAAAAGAAAAAAAAAACATTAGAAACTTATAAATTAGAAAATAATGTAAATATATAACACATAAATGAACGTGGAAAATTGAAACTAACGGTCCATAAATATCTAAAGTTGAATGAAAAAGAAAACCTACCTCAAACCATGAAAGGACTTGATGATCGATCAATTGTTAAAATATTTTTTTTTTTGTTTTGTTTTTGGATATTCTGTGTTAACATTCTCGGCTTTAATGATACTAAACCTCGTACGAACTAGATAAGAGATTAATAAGTACACAATCTATTAATAAACCTTAACCTCGTATGAGCTAATAAGTACACAATATGAAAGAAGAATGTAAAGGGCGAGCCTGAGATGAAGGGTTTTTTGGTTATTACGTAGCTTTAATAGACGATGGATCATCTCAAACTTTCATGCAAAAGTTTGTCCAAGACGCGAGAATCCTTTTTAATTTTTTTTTCTCCTTTATATAATTTGTTTCGACTTAAAAATGATATAATAGCCTTTAGAATTAATATTGATACACAGACATTGGATCAACCAAGATAGAGCCGAGAATATCAACCGGAATATCAAAAGTACAATTGATATGTTATGTTATGGTCCACAAGGTCTTAAAATCTTGTGGACCATGTTATGTTATGATGTCCTTGCATAATTTTTTCACACTCATTTGCTGGTCCATTTGAATTCTTTGAGAAACACATGTTCCACACGTTTTGCATCATCGTTAATAATGGTATATATATAGCAAAAATAAAAACATAATATTGGAAGAAGTTACATTCTAGATTACTGGACGTTTTGTGAAATAATCTTTTTTTGGTCATTTTGTGAAATAATCTAAATATGAATATTAACTAATCGTTGAAAGAAGAAAAAAAAAACATGTGTTCTATTTTTTTTTTCTGAAAACTAGCTTTGTTTTCTATATAAAAAAAAAAAATTGAGCCTCCTAGATCTTCTGTTATGAAAAAGTGTACCACTCCAGAAAAGGAAAAAGGAAATTTGAGGAAGATAATTACAAATTGTCAAGATGATATCATCAAACATTTTAGTAAAAAAAAATATATATATTATCATTCATCAAATATCATAGCCTAATTAAAGTAGCAACAACCGTTATCGAGCACTCATGCAAAAGAAAAAAAAAATTCACATGAACAAGCTCCAAGTAATCCACTAAGATGATAGACCCAAAATAGTGGTCGCTACATTCATCAAATATCACGTGTGCGCTGTATCTTCCTAGTGGTCGTTACAAAATAGTATTGGGCTTATTCGACGAGAGATAATCAAAGGCAAGAAGCCAAGAACCCAAAAAAAACAAAAACAACATTATGGTATATATTTTCGCAAATAAATGGTGTATTTTATGACGGGGGTTTGTAAAAACAAACATGATATTACATGAAATAATGTTTCATAATATAATAAAATAATATATTGATAAAACACATACGCAAAATCTATGCTATTTAGAGAAGGAAAAAAAAAAGATGATAAATCAACTATCCATTTTGTTGATATATAAAATTCACTGGAAAAAGGTTTAGAATCCAAATTGCATGTGGAAAAGTTACATAATTAATATTGCATGGATATTGTTCAACACTTCGTAGTAGATTGTCTAATTTAAATAGCGAGAAATGTAAAAAAAATTATAGAAATATCATCCTCACGAACTCATACAAATTCATCAAAAAAAGCTGACGAATATATCAGTCTTGCTGTCATCATTTTGCAAAGGCCATTGTCATCCGCCGCTCCTCGATCATGGAGATGGAGATCAGGTTCTGAAACTCTGAAACTCACACTTTCTTAACTCCATGATAATTAAACACAACTAGTTTTGAATACGCTAAAAAAATTGTTATTGTTTTTTCCTACAAAAATTCAATAATAAATGAGCCACGTAAATGTTTTTGGAGGCTTTTGGATTGTGAGGGCCGTCTCTGACTCTTTAGACGATAGGTTTCCTCCATATCGTCTTGAAAGTAGCTACTACTAATTTAAATATGTAAAAATATGTGTTTTTGAGTTTTTGTTGTTTATCCAAACACTACTATTCGTTTACGAACTTATTATATATATATGCCGGTTTTACAGAAGAGAGGCAAAAAAACGGACACATCGGTGTTAACCAGAGGCCAATGCCCATGGATTTGTTTCTTAATTTTAATCAAGGCTCTCTAATTCACTAAGATGCAACTGTGGTTGTCGAGTAGTTTCACCTAAATCTATCTCACTTTGCTTGAGCACGGCCCAATTTACGTTTCTCGTGCTTTAAATTTCACCTTTTTTGTGTAAATAGGTGGTTCTTTTGTAAACATACTCTTTTGAAGTTCATGATCAGTGAAAAACATTTAACAGGTCCATTAAAACAAAATGTATATGTATATATCAATTGCGAATACCACATCCTTGTAGCTAACTTCTTTCGCCCTCATCATATTCTGTAAAACAAATATATCTTAAACAAGTTTCTTACTCTTAATTTTTGTTTTGAAGTTATAAACCCATGTTTACAGGACGATATCAAATTATCAATGTATAGAACAATATAATAAAGATGAGATTTATTCAAACCTGCTAAAAAGGGGCTTAATAATGTATCTTCGAATGTGACCGACTTAAACGAAATAAGCCAAAACAGCTACTATTTAAGTGAGAAGAGTTTCTTTGACATTTCTATATTATTGCCTCAGAGTATTCACTATTCAGACAAAACACACACACACATACACAAGAAGGAAAGAGAGAAGAAAGATCAAGAAAATGAAATCTGAGCTTATCTTCATACCGTATCCAGGAATCGGTCATCTCCGATCAACAGTCGAGATGGCAAAGCTACTAGTCAACCAAGAAAACCAGCTCTCCATCTCCGTACTCATCATCCCTTTCATTACCGAAGGTGAAGCCGGTGCTTCTGCTTACGTAGCAGCTCTCGCAGCCTCCTCCAACAACCGCCTCCGCTACGAAATAATCACCGGAGGAGATCAACCAACCGCAGAGACGACGAGGCTTGACATCCACGTCGAGAATCATAAGCCACAGATTAGACTCGCCGTTGCAAATCTCGTCGACGGTTACTTGACGCAGCCAAACTCGCCGAGGCTCGCCGGGTTCGTCGTCGACATGTTCTGCACCTCGACAATAGAGGTTGCGGATGAGTTCGGCGTTCCGACTTATCTGTTTTACACCTCAAACGCCGGGATTCTCGCACTCGGGTTTCACATTCAGATGTTGTACGACGAGAATCAATACGACGTCAATGAAAGTGATTTCCAAGACTCGGACGCTGAGTTGATCGTTCCGAGTTTGACTCGTCCTTATCCCGTGAAATGTCTTCCCATGGGTTTCGCATCGAAAGTGTGGCTCCCGGTCTATGTACATCTCACAAGAAAATACAGAGAGATGAAGGGTATTTTGATAAATACCGTTACTGAGCTTGAACCTAGTGCGTTGAAGTGTCTATCGAGTGGTGATACTCCTCCGGTTTATCCAGTGGGACCACTGCTGCATCTAGAGAAACAAGTGGACGAGAAACAACCGGAGATTTTACGGTGGCTGGACGAGCAACCGGCTAGATCGGTAGTGTTCCTCTGTTTCGGGAGCATGGGAGGATTCGGTGTGGAACAAGTGCGAGAAATCGCCGTCGCGCTAGAGCGAAGCGGCCACTGTTTCTTGTGGTCTCTCCGTCGTGCGTCTGAAGATATAATGAAGGAATTTCCCGGAGAATTCACGAACCTGGAGGAGATTCTCCCGGAAGGATTCCTTGTTCGAACGGAGGAGAAGGGAAAGGTACTCGGATGGGCCCTACAGGTGGCTGTTCTTGAGAATCCGGCGATCGGAGGTTTTGTGACTCACTGCGGGTGGAACTCGACGCTAGAGAGTCTCTGGTTCGGTGTTCCGACGTTGGCGTGGCCGTTGTATGCAGAGCAGAAATTCAACGCCTTCGAAATGGTGGAGGAGCTCGGATTAGCGGTGGAGATTAAAAGGTATTGGAGAGGCGATCATTTGGCGGGAGCGGCGAAGGAGTTGGTGACGGCAGAGGAGATTGAGAGAGGGATCATGTCTCTGATGGTGCAGGATAGTGACGTGAGGAAGAGAGTGACGGAGATGAGCGAAAAATGTCGTGTGGCCTTAATGGATGGTGGATACTCGCGGATTGCTTTGCAAAAGTTTATTGAAGACGTAAAGAAGAATATGGCTTCGCCCGATAAGGAAATATAACTTGTACGCTCTTGAATAGGCCCAATATGGTTTATTTACAAGATTCGTTACGTACGTATGCATGGAACTTGAATTTCAATTCGTACTTTGGGTCTGGGGGAAAAGAAAAAGACGGTTTGTAACTTGTTACCAATTATAAATTGGATTGGAACCTTGGTTGATTATCTCGACATCATTTTTTTTTTTTTTTTTTGGAAAACTGTAAACATCAATAATTAGGGTAACAAAAAGAAAAAAAACATTAGTAAATTTTTTTTTTTTTTTGCTAAAAAACATTAGTAAATAATGTAAATATATAACACATAAATGAACGTGGAAAATTGAAACTAACGGTCCATGAAAGGACTTGATGAAAAAGAAAACCAATCTCAAACCATGAAGGGACTTGATCGATCAATCGTTAAACCAATTTTTGTTTTTGAATATTCTGTGTAAATATTCTCGGCTTTAATGATACTAAACCTCGTATGAACGATAAGAGTACACAAATCTAGTTATCTAGGTACGGCTTAATTGCAGTTGTCTTTTACTTTAAGGTTGGATGAAAACTTGCAATGTAACGAAACGTCTCTGAATATTTGAAGGTTCCAAAAAAAAAAAAAAAAAAAAAAAAACTGTCTCTGACTCGTGAAACGAGTGATCGTTATGAATTGCATGTATCGTCATTTAAACCACAACACACGCGTGCAATTGTACCCAGATACTTTAGCCCAACAAACAAAACCAATTAACAAAAGAAACCAAAACAGTGATCATTTAAATAAGTATAGATCTTATTTGATACTGTGTTATATATATCCTCAAGGATCCAGACAAAGCACCGGAAAAGAAAAGAAACAAAATCTACAAGACATGAAATATGAGCTTGTGTTCATACCGTTTCCAGTATCCGGTCATCTCAGATCAGCAGTCGAGATGGCGAAGCTACTAGTCGACCAAGCAAACCACCTCTCAATCTCCGTAATCATACTTCCTTTCCTTTCCGGACGCGATGATGTCGGTGCTTCTGACCTCTCCGACGCATCCAACGAACGCCTCCGCTACGAGTTGATCTCCGACGAAGATCAACAAAACGCAGAGCCGGCGGGGCTTGACATGCATATCAACAATCAGGTGCCAAAGGTGAGACGCGCCGTTGCAAAACTCGTCGAGCACAAGTCGACGAGGCTTGCAGGGTTCGTCCTCGACATGTTCTGCACCTCCATGATTGATGTGGCGAACGAGTTCGGTGTTCCGAGTTATATGTTCTACACCTCCAGCGCCGGGGCTCTCCGACTCAGACTTTACTTTCAGCAACTGGACGATGAGAATGAGTTTAACTTCAGTGAGTCAGATTTGGATGACTCGGAAGCTGAATTGGTCATTCCGGGTTTGACTTGTCCGTATCCGGTGAAGTGCCTTCCTCGCAATCTCTCTTCGAAAGAGTGGTTCTTGATCTTTGTAAACCAATCAAGAAGATTTCGAGAGATGAATGGCATTTTGATAAATACCGTTGCTGAGCTTGAACCCTATCCGTTGGAGTCACTCTCGACTGGTTTTCATCCGGTTTATCTAGTGGAACCACTGTTGCATCTTGAGAACCAAGTTGATGATTCCAAGGAAGAGAAACAAACTGAGATTTTATCATGGTTAGACGAGCAACCGGCTAAATCGGTTGTGTTCCTGTGCTTTGGAAGCTTAGGAAGTTTCAGTGAGGGCCAAGCAAGAGAATTCGCGGTTGCATTGGAGCAAAGCCGCCACCGTTTCCTCTGGTCTCTCCGCAGCTGATCTCCTAATATACCGAAGGAAGGTCCCGGAGAGTTTACAAGTTACAACGGTTGTTTTTCCCCTAAAGTAGAAACCAACACCACCTCCATCGGCAATAACTTAATTTATGGTTTCTTATCATTATTTTATTAATATAAATTATTTATCTAACTTATATTTAAAATATATAAAGAAGAAACCAATGAAAAATGGACAAGTGTAGCTATAAAGGAAAGAAACCCTCACAATCGTTTTTTATATGAGAGATTTAAGAGCATTTCTAGCAGTTAGAAAGGTTAAAAGTATCTTAGAAAAAAAGATATTAATTTTAAATTCATGAAAAATATTAAACCAATAACAAAGTAACATATATTAAATGAATTTGTTGAAAAGCTTAAAAACATCTTTTACAAAAAAAGTTTAAGAAGCGTTCCTCCTCTTCTTTCTTAACATTTATTATTTTATTAATTAAAAGATTATGGTTAAAAACCAGCGATGGAGATGGTTTAAGAAACGAATATAATTTTTCTCTCTCTTTTTTCTTTTTTTTTTAATTTTTTTATTCTTAAGAAATCTTATTAAGACACTCTGATGGAGATGCCCTAAGACCACCTCCATCGGGTATATTAGGAGGGTCTCTTAAAAATAAAAAAATTAAAAAAAAAAGCAAGAAAGAGAAATGGTTAATTTGTGAAATAACCATATTACACCATAAAATAAATAATATAACCATACTAATTTCATAATTAATTCAATAACTAAAAATCCTAAAATTTGTCTATTTTGCCCTTCAAACAAAATTTATAAATACATTATTATAGTATACTATATCGATTTATATTACTATACTATACTATATATAAAATGTTTATATCTTATGAATTGTGTAGGAGAGAGGAGAAAATGTAAAGTGACGAGTGAGGGTAGGGGAGAAGATCAGAGGGGAAAGAGAGGGGAAAAAAGAGTGAAGAGGAGAAAAGGGGAAGAGAAAGAAGAAAAAAGGAAGGAAGAAGAAAAAAACAGAAAGGAAAGGAAAAAAATAGGAGAGGGATGATTTTGTATATATTGTAGAATATATACAAAATACTATAGTCATTGATTTTTATGGTTAGTTTGTCTATTTTACAGTTTAATATGGTCATATGACCCAATTTCTCAAAGAGAAACTACATATGTGTCTCAAAGCACAATTTTAAAAAAATTTTAGGAAACGTATGTTACAAGTGTCAAATTATTATTCGCTCATTCCTTTACTTTTTTTTTAAATATTAAATTTTAATTAAATATATAAATTTTATTAATTTTATATATGGAAGAGACTGTGAAGAGTATCTTCACCGCTGGAGATACTCTAAGACCATCTCTAATAATAAAAATCATTTTTACTAATATTTTTAATATAAATTTTGAAAAATCTTAAATTTATTATCTTCCAATGGTAAAATCCAATTTGAAGTTCTTGAGAATAAATAAAGATGATTTGATGAGTTAAAAAAACCAAAAAAAAACAAACAAAAAAGTTTTATTCAATCATAATGAGACATATTAAGGGTTTTGATGAGTTCTAAAAACTCTCACTTCAAAACTAGAACCAGTTCTACACATAATTATCTATTTTTTATTTAATTTTGATTAGTTTATTGATGAAAACCTCTCTTAAGAACTCCTTTTGGAGATGTTCCAAAACCATCTCCATCGCCAAATCTCTTAAATAATGTATTTAAATTATATTATATTAATTATAATTTAATTAAAAATTAAATTAAATAAAATTTAACTAATTATAAGGAAATATCTGTTTATTAAATATCTTATATTATTGAGAAAGTATCTCAAATCATTTGATAAGAAGACGGCTCTTACTTTTTTGATGCCTTTTCATTATTTTTTTTTTTCATAATGTTAAGAGACTCTCTCACATCCTACCGATGGAGCTGAGAGCATCCACAATGGAGGATTTTAAGAAAGCTCTTAACTGAAAAAAAAAAAAAAAAAAAAAATGAGGTGGCCAGCTTTTTGTGTTGAATTGGTTCAGAGAATTGCAAAAGTCGACTCTTCTCCTTCCTCTCACACGTGTCATCACCTGATTGGTCAAATGCTTTTTTTTTGAAAATCATTTTTTTAATAATTAAAAATATGGAAGAGCTTCGTTATATGAGACTCTCTATTAATGATGCTCTAGCTTTAAGGGAGCCTCTTAATATGAGGTTCTAACAAAAAAAATCAAAAAAATAAATAAAAACTAAATAAATTAATCAGAGTCGATTCTCAATATAGAGTTTTTAAAATTGGTAGAAGCCTCATATGTGTTTCATTCTCATTGGTCAATTTTATTAGACAAAAAAATAAAATAATTTTTTTTCTTTTCTCAAGTTTCTTCCGCGACTTTCTCTTTTATTTCTCACCTCTTTCTCTCGATACAATGAAGTTGTGGGTTGTCAAAGCGAAGAGGTGCGGGTCAACCGGCGTCTGATACCGAGATGACGGAAGCTGCCGGAGGTGTTTCCGCCGTGGCTCCATCTTACCCGTCGCCTCAGATGCCGGGTGTTGAGAATATTCCGGCAACTCTTAGCCACAACGGTATTTCTCTCAGCGACCCGAACACGATGTTGGCCGTGAATATTCCGTCACCATTGGAGCTGCTCTAAGTCTCCGATCATGCCTATTGGCAAGGGCGCTTAGCATCGATTGGTAAATATTCCGATTCTTATTTCAGTTTCAAAATTTATTTTAATTGAAAAATGAATATGATTTTGTTGATTGGGTTGGTAAAGTTACCAACTTTGATCCGAAATTTCTTTTTCAAAAGATTGATTAATTGATGTTTTGTTCTTCTTATATCAGCTTTATCTTTTGTGTTCTTTGTTTATTTGATGTTTTGCAGTTCGGCTATGAACTCTGAAACAAATGTTCGATTCAAATACAGAGCAACTGATACTGCCGTCGCAGAAGAAGTTACGGAAGCCGGTTGCATCACTGGTGATCGGATTAACGGGGATTAAAAGAAAAAGCTCCATACGATACTCTGCAGGAAAATGCATTTGAGTGGGGATTATCTAGGATTCCACACTCCGAGGATGTGATCCAAGTGACTCAGCTCGCTGCAAATCATCTAGTCAGGTTACTTCTCTATTCATTGTTTTGTAAGAATCGGTAACAGAGTGCATCAACTCTGGTTGCTACATTAGGAAAGTAGTTAACATTGTTATCGTTTCTCACGGATATCACAAAGAACGTTTGTAAATACTGAATATGTGTGATCCCGCTCATCTATAATGATCCCCAACAACTTCTATTTCAGGTTACTCTAATTTAGCTCAGCTGATTCTCGAATCTCTACTCGACCAGGAGTAAGAATTGGGATTTCTAGAAATCCAAATCATTTTGGGTCAATATCTGCAGAAGCTTGAATCGGTCAACGGTGTGATATTCATTGGTGGTTGGGCCAAAGAAGGATTGTATTACGACATCGTCAAGAAAATCTTCAATGTGAGCTCAACTTTTTTTATACACTGATATTCAAGAAGTTTGAATTGGTCAACAATGTGAATTACAGTGATCTTATTGGTATCTCTATGATCCTCACAGAAAGCTTTGGAAAGAAATGATGCTGGAGAGCACTTTCCCGTATATGCCATTTGCCTAGGATTCGAGCTCCTCACGATGATCATAAGTCAGGTGACAATTTGTTCTTGCTTCTCCTAGTAACTTCTCTAGTTCAATTAACTTGTGTGTTTTCTTATGCTATAAATTTTAGTCCTTTTTCTAATTGTTAGAGTATTTAAACATAAGTTAAGAATCTTACTTCCGCCACACTGTCTAACAGACAAGCAGTGAGTTTAAGCTATCCCTTTCATGGATTACGAGCTTAGAATATACTAAATAGTATGTAGTACAGTTTGATATCTGCATGCTCCATTCAAAATCTTCAATCCTTGCCTTTGTAACAGAACACGGACATTTTTGAGAAGGTTGATGTAAAGAACTCTGCATCAAGTCTCCGGTTCGTTGAAAATGTTAACACTGAAAGAACCGTATTCCAAAGGTGCATATATCAATTCTCAAGATGTATATATGTACTAATAACCCCAAGTTGTGCAACATTTTAATTGCAATGTTTCATTTTGCAGATTTCCACCAGATTTGTTGAAAAAACTCAGTACAGACTGTTTGGTTATGCAGAAACATTTTAATTGCACTGTTTCATGTTTGTTTAAAATTTTATGAAATGCAATAATATTTAAGTTTTATATAATATAAATTCTATTTAAAATATTTTAATTTTCAAAATATTTTTTTGTTTAAAACCTCTAATGGGGTTCAACCATTGGAGCCATACAATTTTAATTACTTTTAAGAACTTCTTAATTTAAAAAAAATTAAAATTTATAACTAAAATAATGTTTAGAGTCCATTAAAGATTCTTTGCATTGGAGCTGTGTTTAAGGAGGTTCTAAAGAAAAAAAAAAAAGAAAAATGACATGTAGAAACTAAAAGTCAGAATAGGCGTCTCTCATGTGACGTGGCAACATATAATTTGTCACATTTTTTTTAATAACAAAAATCAATTTTTTTAATAATACATTTTTTTTAAGAGTTTCACATCAGAGTATTTCCAATACTGATACTCTAAAAAATTCATTTTTCAATAATAGATTTTTCTGGTTCCGTGCATATATATATTGGGCCTGTTAATATATAACACATAAATGAAAGTGAACGTCACTGTAACTAACGGTCCATAAATATCTAGAGTTGAATGAAAAGGAAAATCTTCCGCAAACCATCAACGGACTTGATTATCAAAACTAAACGTTAGAAGAAACAAAAATTATATATTTTATTTTAATAATCTCGTCTCTAGTGATATGAAGCCTAGTATGAACTAGACAACATAATGAGTAGAACAATCTAGATATCAGTTTAATTGGGACGTTTTTTCACTTGACTACCATATTTGTTATAGAATGCCAAGTAGTGTGGTAACAAATTTGCAATGTAAGTTATCTAACGTCTATGACTCATGTGTCTAATGGAGCAGGATCATGTGTCCGATGGAGCAGGATAGTGCCGTGTGGCTTTTATGGACGGTGGTTGGTGGCGGATTGCTTTGCAAAAGTTTATTCATGACGTTACGAAGATAATAGTTTCGCCGGATAGGGAATAGAGCATGCACGCACGTTCTTGAATGATAAGCCCAATAATGTTAGCTTACAATATTCGTCATGTGATTTTTGTACAACTTTGAAGTGGTGATACTGATCGGTACATATATAGTACCAGACAGCGATCATGGTAACGTAGGTAGAATGGAAAAAGTACACATGTGACTGAAAAAAACAAATGTGACAGCAAATGAGTCAAACATGAGTTATGAAAAATATTCACCATTGAATACATTCTTGGACGATATAATCATGTCAAAATCCGGTAAATTTAAACCGTGGATTAAAAATAAAAAGAAAGAATTCACATTATTGTTTTTCTTTTTGTTATTACATATAGATAAAACATATAGGTTAGTTTCTTATAAGTTGTATCCCCTCAAGAGTTCGAAAAAACAACCAAGATATTATAGGATTTTTACAAAAAATGAAAATTGAGCTGATATTCATCCCGTTTCCGGCGATCGGTCATCTCATGGTCACCGTGGAGATGGCGGAGCGACTAATCGATCAAAACAACCGTCTCTCTATCACCGTAATCATACTATCTTTCAATTCTAAAACCACGTCTATGATGGCCTCTCTCACCACCACATCCAAAGACCGTCTCCGCTACGAAGTAGTCACCGGAGAAGATCAACAACCCGCCGAGCTGAAGGCGACTGATTCCCACGTCCAAAGTCTGAAGCCAATCGTGAGAAAGGCGGTTGCGAAACTCGTCGATCCGAGTCAACCTGACTCGCCTCGCCTCGCGGGATTCGTCGTCGACATGTACTGCACGTCCATGATCGATGTTGCTGACGAATTTGGGGTTTCTAGTTACTTGTTTTACACTTGCAACGCTGGATTTCTCGGACTCTTGCTTCATATGCAGCTCATGCACGACGCGGCGGAGGAAAAGTATGACATGAGCGAGTTAGAAGACTCAGACGCTGAGTTGGTGGTTCCAAGTTTGACTCGTCCGTATCCGTTGAAATGTCTTCCTTACATTTTCAAATCAAAAGAGTGGCTCCCGTTTTTTGTCACTCAAGCGAGAAGATTCAGAGAAACTAAGGGTATTTTGGTAAATACAGTTGATGAGCTGGAGCCTCATGCGTTGAAGTTTCTCTCCAATGGTGAGAGTGATACTCCTCCTGCTTACTCAGTGGGACCATTGTTGCACCTCAGAAACGAAGCTCGTGATTCCGTGGCGGAGAAGAAACAATGGGAGATTTTAGAGTGGCTCGATGAGCAACCGGCTAGATCGGTGGTGTTCCTCTGCTTCGGGAGCATGGGAGGCTTCAGTGAGGAACAAGCGAGAGAAATCGCCACCGCGCTCGAACGAGGCGGCCACCGTTTCCTCTGGTCTCTCCGCCGTGCATCTCCGAATGTAATGAAGGAGCCTCCCGAAGAATTCACCAACCTGGAGGAGATTCTCCCTGAAGGATTCTTTGATCGGACGAAGGAGCGAGGGAAAGTTATCGGATGGGCCCCACAGGTGACCATACTGGAGAAGCCGGCGATGGGAGGTTTTGTCTCACACGGCGGGTGGAATTCGACGCTGGAGAGTCTGTGGTTCGGTGTTCCGACGGCGATTTGGCCGCTTTACGTTGAACAGAAGTTTAACGCCTTCGAGATGGTGGATGAGCTTGGTTTATCGGTGGAGATTAAACGGTACTGGCGAGGAGATCTTTTGTTGGGGAGGTCGGAGATGGAGATTGTGACGGCGGAGGAGATTGAGAGAGGGATCCGGTGTCTGATGGAGCAGGATAGTGTGAGGAAGAGAGTGAAGGATATGAGCGAAAAATGCCACGTGGCTTTAATGGACGGTGGATCCTCGCGGATTGCTTTGCAAAAGTTTATTCAAGACATAAGGGATAATTTGTAAGTTTTCTTTGTAATTCATACTAGTGTGTTCTAAAAGAACATGAATGGATTGTGACTTTTGTGTTGTAAGAAGAATTTGTTCTCAAAACTGTTTTTACTAATTACCAATAAGTTGAGATTGACTCTGAGCTAGTGGTGGGTTTTCCGACCGCTAAGATTAGTGAGGTATATTTCCTGTACTTTCTAGTGTGATTGTGCCAAGGCTTTTTATCTAAAAACTGAATTATTCTGATTTTTCATGGGTATAGAGAGGCTAACCGACTTGATGACATGTTAGCGAATTATGCGTTTACTCTTCCTTTAAGGATTGCATTGCTGAAGATGTTGCTTCGATTTTAATAGAAGATGTTACTGCGATGACGAGGATACGGAATGTGCGTGTGTAATGAAAGCTTTCTAAACATTGAATAAACTGGAGGAGACATTGTCTCATTTTCCCGACCAAAAAAATAAATTGATTTTGAGAAAATGTAATAAGACACCAAAACAGATACTTATTGTAAATTTAAAATGATTCTCATTATTATTGAACCATAACAGATTACTCTTGGGTGCGTAACACAAACCAAACAACATCAAAATCAAATTAACACCACCTTTACCCCAAGAGTCAAAACAGAACAACAATGAACAATTAAAAAAAAAAAGTGAACAGAGCACACACCATTTTCCGGTCATGCTAAACTAACTTCCGGCAACAGAACACCGTGTCCTGATCACACCGGCGGATCCCGTCTTCACTTTAACCCTTCCCATCTTCTCCATCGACCTAGCAAAAGCCTTGTAAAACTTCTCTTCAGAACCGTTGACCAAGTCGTTGATCATCTTCAACGTCGCTGAGTTGGTCGTCAAAGCAGAATCAGACTGAAACAGACCTCTCCTCTTCAGAACAAGCCTGTAGTAACTGAGATCGAAGCTTTTGCGGCTACCGGGATCCATCTCGAGTATGGTTGTGTTGTCGTTGAGGCTCTTACATTTGGTGGCCTTTAGAGTCGCTGCGTATTCGCTGTCTAAAGATGGATCTTGTTTGACTGTCGAGGAGAAGTTGTAGAGACGAGTGTTCATTGAAGAACAATGCGAGACACCGATCGTGTGAGCCCCTATGAGAACCAAAACAAAAGTTAAACCGGTTGAAAAGCCAAATCTTGGAATATGGTTCTGGTTATTAACTTCGGTTTATTGAACATACCAGAGAGCAGGACAAGATCTTTGAGATTAAGTCCTTGGTTAGCGAAGCGTCGCTGCAACGTCGTGAAATTACTTGTCGGCGCCGGAATGTTGTTCGAAGCCTCCGTCAAATTTGAGATCCTACCGTCTCTTCTTCCCGTTGGGACTCTCCACCACGGACCTCCCTGTCGGAGTTTCAAATTCTAACGTTAATTTTGCTTAGTTAACAAATGAAGTATTCAAGTTTTAGTTTGTTTTACTTACGGTGGCAACAACTGCGTCTCTAGCGGTCAAAGCGATGATATCGGCGCAAGAAACAGTCTTGGGACACTCTTTTTCAAGAAGAGTCTTAATCCTCTCTACGAAACCGAATCCTCTAAGTGTTAGATTCGGTGGTGCATCTCTCTCTGCGTTCCCTGTTGTCGAATTTATCAACACTGATCCATCGCATCCCTTCATATATATATTTTTTTTCACAAAATCAACGTTAATTATGTATTAAAAAAATGCAACAAGTCTCATATATTCTGGTCTAGCTCAAAACAAACATATATGAATTAGTGGAAGAAATTAGAAAAATACCCTGACGAAGCAATCATGGAAGTGCATTCTGATGAGAGGAGCTGCAAGAGAAGGACCGTTATGGATATGGTTTTGAATATGGTCTGAAATGATTTTCTCTGCTTTTGGACAGCTTTTTGCGTAGAAATTCATTTGAAGCTGAGCCTCGGAAGATCCAAACATTCCCATAAGAACCGTCGCTGCAACGGCAATCACAACCACGACATTCAATCGCTTCATCGTCTTCATTGAGTAGTTTCCTCGATCTTCTTTCTCGATACTTTTTTCTTTTCTTTTGTGTCACTGAAGAGAGACCAGATATATAGAGCAATAATGGAGGCAGGGTCTATTTATAAAAGGAGTGTTGAATATGGTAAAAGTAAACAGGAAATTTATGTAACTAACCGAAACACATGTGGACAAAATTATTTAAATCATATTTCGTTTGTTTGCATAAGATCATTAATTATATGAAGTGAAACAGAAATAATAAATCGAATATGATTTTGTTCTTTTTAATTTAAATTGTTCATATTAAAGATTTATTGAAAAATCTAAAGTGATACCCGAATAAAAAACACCCCTATTTTGTAGTTATACGCTTTTTATGTTCTACCGTGCTTGTATTAATATTTTAAGTTTAACAGAATTCAATGTAAATGAAGTAAACAACTATAAATATGTTAGTAGAGTTTATTTGTAGTTTTGTAGTATATAGAAAAGAGCAAAAGTAGAAGGATAAAATTTGCTAGCACGTCTTAATTTAGTAGGGATAATATCACATGCGAATAGTGTATTTTTTATTATAAAGAAGGGCTATTACATAAATGGATACTTATCAAATTATTTCTTTAAAAAAGACGTTAATTGCTTTTTAATTTTTATATGCACGGATCGAGGTATCATATATAAAAAGTCTTACGGTCTCCTTTACGGTCCATTGGTAACTTTCTTTTGTTTATTTTCTTGATTTATGAAATTTAATAAGAAAAATATATACAATATTAGAAGTATAAAAAATAAGGTAATAACCGGTTTTTTTTTATTTTGAGTTGCTCCTACCTTGCATAGTTGCATTCACCATCTTGAAAACATTACCATAATGCTGGCTTAATAGTATGCTGTTATAATTTACGCCAAACATCTTGAAACAATTGTATGACTTTCAAGTCATAGCTTGCAAACCATATAGTTTAATTCAATTGTAAAACCCTTTATAAAAATACCTTAATTAGTTTCCTACAACTTCGTAAATTACTATGGTCTATGGATGTGGGTAGAGCCCATAATTATTAGAAGACAAAAAAAAAATGTTATACAAAACATAAAAATAGACCCCAACAATGGTGAGTGACGTAAGGAAGTGAAGGAGTAGCCTCTCCACATATTGTCCCACAGCCTGCAAGTCTAGTTTCCTTCAGGTCTTTCAGTTCAAATAGGATTGTTAAAATAAAATTTTAAGAAAAAAGAACAAAAAGGAAGAAAGAATAAGAACTCAATAAAATTGAATCGAATAATCTACTCTAAAATGTGCATGAAAATAGGAATGACCAGTAATTTATGTTTCAAAACTTCGACTTCATATTATAGAACTAGGTATTATCTACCATACTGACAGAATAATACTTTTTCAAACATGATTTATGACGTAACTTTTCCTTTTTAGTAATTTTGATATGTACAACTTATGTAGTGAAATTTTGATTAACTCATCCCATAAAATTTCTTAATCTTGCTCGGAAACTCAATCCTGCTTGGCAGTTAATTAGGCACATGGTTTGGAACAACTTTGGGGACTTCTTTCCCCATTTTTTCTTGCTGCCATGGCCCATGCACATGTTAATTTAGTGAAATGCGAAATTATATAACTCTTACCAAATTATTATATATGTATTAATGTAAGCTGTTAGAGAAAAGACGCGTCAAAAATAAACGTTGTGAGAAGAAAAACGATAAAATCAGAATATATCCAACAACTCAACAAACCCTTTTTAAACAAAAAAAAACATTTTCAACAGCGTTTGATATTTTAATTTCCATAAGGACACTTTTTCACTTTGATTGAAGGAACCATACAATTGGCAAAAGAAAATTAAAGAAGGAACAATGAAAAGGAAAGATACCAACGCATAATCAGCAAAACCCACTTACACATATATTGTTTCTTGCACTTACACACAAAGTTTACGAATCTGTAATAATTGAATATATACGTATATAATAAAAATAATATTAGCAAAGAAATATTAGAATAGTAATTATATACACAAATGATATAATTCAAGGGGAAATTAGGTCTTAAAATATTTATGTATATATTTGCTCTTTCTTTCTCTCACATCCTTGAGATGCCAAAACGAATATGCAGATTTTGAAGCCATAAAATGAAGGTCTAAATTTCTTATGTATCTCTTAGAACATTCATACATGATATGCAAACAATATATGCATATGATATGTATCGAAGAAGTATCGATACATTCGGCAAAAGTTGTGGACACCCGATTTGGTTAACATTTGATATCCATCTTGTCTTCTACGGTCAAGGATGAAATAGCTTTGAGGAATGACAAACTAACTTTTGTAAGTGTTGGTTAAATCCCCCAAAAAGGGCATATATATAAGGTAAAATTTGTATATTGTAAAACATTATTTTCTGAATTTTGGTTTACAATTTTTTTTTCTGAATTTTCAGTTGTAAAATTTTAATGAAACAAAGTTATTAATGATTAGATAAATGAATGATTATATTTGTAAAAAGAGTATGAAAAACCATATATTTTGTTCATATATCTCTTTTTCTTTTTTGGGACAAAGTTCTTTTTCCACTGTCGTGTTTTATTACTGTCTTCATCTTTAAATTTGACATTGGCAAATTTCTTAGAAATCTTGATATTTTTTTATAAAAAATAAAGATAAAATAAATTACTACGCAGCTAATGAATTGCAAAAATATTATAATTAATGGTTTGAACTTTACATATGCAATTTGTGGTTTAAATACTTTATACATGCATTTTGTGCATTATATAGTTTTGATTGATCACGAATTCAAAGGGTGGTAGAGAAATTTGACCTAATATAATACCAAATATATAGCAGCTTCCATTTCTTCTCCTTCTTGTTTGGCAGATAGTTGTTGACAGGTCCCCTTAACGGACCTTCGAAATTGGTTCATTCCCTTCAATATGGTTTATCTTATTTTGTTGTAAAAAACTTTGTAAGAATTCATTTCCTTACTTAGGGACACCCTTTAACATAAATAAAGCAATAGTTCCAAATTTTAAAATATTCAGAATTCAATGCTTACAAAAATATAAACTCCTTTTATAGTCCTTGTACATAACAACCGGGAGTTTGTGTTTGAGTTAAGGTTTAATTTGATTTAGCAAAAAAATGTCCATTTTCAATAGTAATTCGCGAACGTGAAGGAAATCATCATTCAGATAAAATAAACAAATGAATCTGTCTTAACTCTTAACAACTGTGTGATCACCAATTTTTCACGGGTATTGGCGTAGAAATAATCTTTTGCTTGGCTTGAGAGTCTTGTGAGACTTTTCATTCATCTCTTTTAATCATTCACTGTCTTTTTCTTTTACGTTTTTAACTATTATTTCTTACAATTTTAAAATAATACAAAAGTGCACAATCATATAGTCTAGCTAAAGCTACTAACTTCCCCACTAAGTATGATACTATTTTTAAATTTAAAGTTCTCATGCATGATCCATAATATACTAGTAATTCAAAACGTCTAGGTTATGTGACTGGGCTGATAGCAGTGCCGTGCCTAGACTTTTACGGAATTGGCCCATAATTTCTAATTGGGAAACCCAAAATGCCATTTGTATCATACGTTTATCTTAGAGATACACCTTGTAGTCCTAATTTTTCAAATGCGGCTGCCTAGTCAGTGAGGACTCTTGCTGAAAATAATTTGCTACGATTGAGTTAAAACCGGCTTAATTAACTGGACAATCCAAATGATGGGTTTTAACGTCGAAGCGTAAGCGGTCTTTAGTGGAACTGGAGAGAGAAGCGATGCATTTCAGGGCTGTTTGATTCTGTTGCAATGTTAAAACCTTTTTGTAGTGACGAATCTATACACGCATCGATGTGCTGATGATGGGTTTTGTGGTATATGGACTGAGATTTTGGGCCATTGATGATGTTTGCATCTTTGAGGTTTCCTGGTTTAAACCAAATTCGTCTGTGTTGTCCTTAGTAATGAGATATCATAACAGACTGTTATGAGTCTTATGACTTATCAGTTTCTTGCTTTTGGAGCTGAAGCTCTGATGTTGATTCGTGACGTGGGGGTTAAGCAATGAAGCGATAGGTCTATAATCTAAATCTTCCATATTTTCCTATGTTTGCGGGTTTTCTCATTTTACTGTCATTGGTTTTACTCCTCATTTAAGTATTTTGAAGTTATTTGATAGTTCCTCATTAATGTATTACTACGGGATTGTGTATTTTGATAGTTGCTCACATTTTTATTTCGTAACCAAATATTTTTAGGCCTTCAAACTATTATCTTTATAAGTCGGCACCAGAATATGAAAGACTCAACTATGATTTTATCACAAATCATTTTCAGAAACATTTTTTCCCCTGGACAAACGTTGGTGGTAGAGCGACTCCAAACAAACAAATCTTCCAAAGTAGACTTATTTTTTGTGGCTCATATTAATGATTTTTAAAAATTACTTAAAAAAAATAGTGACCACCTAAATAGTAGCAATGTGACATTTCTCACAATAACACAAGGCTTCTAGCAACTTTCTAGTAACATATATATTTTTTTGTTAAAAACTTTCTAGTAATATTGTATTCATCATATATGGCTTCACGCCCAACCTTTTGTATTTAAGAAGGCTCATGGCCGGTCTTAGTTAAATGGGACTAAATTTGACGTAGAGGTTGATCCATTTGAGTAGCAATATAATTAAGACATGTAATTACGTAAACATAAAATGTTTTCACTTGTTTCATGTATTTCTTCGAATTCCATGTATCTATCTAACCACTAAACCAGCTAGCGGACATGTTCAACATCTATGATCTATAATGTAACATGTATATGCAACAACAGATTGTGTATTAGATATACAAACCAGCGTTACATGAGAGTTTAACCAACGAAATTGGGCAAATTAATGAGCCATAGAGAGTCATGGAAGATTGTCTAAGGTATGTGAACATTCAAGAGATATTCTTAGTAACGTCTTGAATGAACTTTAGAAGAGCGTCGCGTGAAGATCCACCTTCCATCAAAGCGACGTGGCTCTTCTCACTCATCTCCTTCACTCTATCCCTCACGCCACTATCCTCCTCCATCAAACACCGGATACCCTTCTCTATCTCATCCGCCGTCATTAAATCCGACTCCTCCGCCATGAAATCTGCCCGGAAAGAGTTCCTGATCTCCACCGCTAGCCCTAGCTCCTCCACCATCTCAAACGCGTTAACTTGCTGCTCTGCGTAAAGCGGCCACGTGGCTATCGGAACTCCGAACCAGAGACTCTCCAGTGTCGAGTTCCATCCACAGTGCGACACGAATCCTCCTACGGCAGGGTTCGCCAAAATGGCGCTTTGTGGGGCCCAACCGATAATTTTCCCGACCTTCGCGGTCCGGTCCAAGAAACCCTCCGGGAGAATCTCTTCGAGGTTTGTAAACTCTCCGGGAGGTCCCATCGATCCCTTTGGCTTAGCACGGCGAAGAGACCAAACGAACCGATGACCACTTCTCTCAAGCGCAATCGCAATTTCTCTTGCTTGATCCTCACGGAATCCTCCCATGCTTCCAAAACAGAGGAACACGACGGATTTACGAGGTTGCTCGTCCAACCACCGTAGGATCTCCGACTGCTTATCGTCCATCGAATTTGGACCGTTGATTTTGATATTCAAAACTGGTCCCACTGGATACACCGGAGGAAGAGAATTATCTCCGCCTGAGAAAAACTTGATAGCTTGAGGCTCCAGCTCAGCAAACGTATTGACCAAAATACCCTTAGTTTCTCGGAATCTTCTGACAGTGCTAACTAGAACCGACATCCACTCCTTGTTTAACATCACGGAGGGGAAACACTTAACCGGATAAGGACGGCTCAAACTCGGAACCTCCAACTCGGTTATCTCCGAATCTTTCAAATCGCTGACGTCATATTTCTCAACGTCGTAAAGGTACTGAGTGTGGATCTGCAACCCAAGAAACGTTGCGTTGGAGGTGTAAAACAGGTAACTCGGAGCGCTGAACTCGTTGGCGACATCAATCATCGCCATGCAGAACATGTCCACCACGAATCCAGCGAGCCGAGACGGCACCGGGGACTCGGGTTGGGCTGAGTCAGTGAGTTTCTCCACCGAGGCCTTCACCTGTGGCTTGAAGCTATTGATGTAGGAGAAGTAATTGGTTTTGGGGTCATCGGATTTTGGTTTATAGGTGACGGAGAGAACATTGTAGTGGAGGCGGTCTTCAGATGCGGTGGAGAGAGAGTCGATGTAGGAGGAAGAGCTTCCGCTACTGAATCCGACCATTTGAGGGATGATGAGGATGGTGACGGAGATATGGTCGTCAAGGTCGACAAGAAACTTAGCAACCTCCACTAATGGCCGGATGTGGCCGTCACCGGGTGATGGTATGAAGACGAGCTCCAGTTTCATGTTTTTGTAAAAATTAAATATTTTTGTCAATTGATTTTCTTAACAGAAAATGAAGGAATTTTGGTTTGAACGGTTTTTAATCATTGAAGACGTTACGAGATAAGCCTTTTTGTCTTTTGCATACATGACATGACACGTTGCGTCTGGATATCTCTACTGACATTGATTTGACTTTTGTAACGGACCGTAGACCACAGGATCTTTATCTTAAATACTTCCGCCAAATTAAGGTTGTAAAATTAGCACTGAGTTTGTTGAATATGAACATAAATTTTAACGTAAAAAAATAATAAAATTGGGACGATTTCATCCAAATACAACATACAGCATTTCATCGATAAAATATATTACGATATTTATAATATATTAAAGTAGATATACTGCAGGCTATTTTTGTTATGTGTTAACACCATAATTTTTCATAGTTTTTTTAAAATTTATTTAAATTAATTATCATTTTATTTCCTAATCCAGATTCATCTCTAAATAATCTTATCTAGGTTACCGGATATATGAACAAACATTCCAACTTTTAATTATCATAAATTTTCTATTATCACAAAATTTTCATAAAATTGATATTTAATTTTTATTATTCTAAAATAGTAATTTACGGAAATTAAATGATTAGTTGATGATATCAAATAATGATATTCTTTTTAGAATGTTTTAGTTAAGTTTTTTTTACATAAAAAACTTATTTAAATTCTCAAACTAAATAAATATAAAGTTACTAATTTTTTTTATATTTTACAAAAAACTGTCAATGTTTTACATCATAAAATCTATTAATATATCTCAAACTTTAATTTATATAAATATATATTTTATTCACAAAAAATAATCACTAAAATTTTATAAAAAGTTGTATTCGATTTCACATATTTAATATTTCATTTATATTTTTAACATTAAAAATTTAAATTATAATTTATTTCATATTAAGAAACTATCGATTATAATAAAAAATATTTATTCTGTGCAAACACACATATTATAATTTAGTATCTAAACAATTTCTTCTTTGTGAGTAGTTATTTTTTCATTTATATCATAAAATTCATTAAAAATTTAAATTATATTAAAAATATTAATATAATATTTACTCAGATACTTAAGACAATACTCTAATTAATGGACATGTGCTTAGACGTACTTAGACCATCTCCATCGGTAAACTCCAATTAGAGTTTTTAACAATTTTTTTAATATATATTTCCCATCATTTTATTTTAAAGACTCTTTTACAAGATTTTGTTTTTTTTCTTTCCATTGGTAGAACATATTAAAGGTTCTAAAAAGACGGTAACTAATTGTTTTTTTTTTAATCTAAAAAGTGATCGACCAATCACAAATGAACACAATTGGGTTTTTTAATATTTCTGGAAATCCTTACTTAACAACCGTTTGCTACACTATTTGCATTTTGATGATTTGTTTTTAATTTTTTAATTTAAGAAACTTTGTTAAAAACCTCCTAAGAGTCATTGATGGAGATGCTCTTAGACCATCTTTATCAATAGAAACTTACATTGTATCTGAGTATTAAAAAAATAGAAAAGAAAAACTAGAAACATATTCCCTACATTCCAAAAAATAATATTTTGGCTTATTCACACAATTTAATGTATTATTTTTTTATAATCACTATTCTTTAATAACTATTAATCAATAGTATTTTAAGAATTTAAATAAATTTAATTGTTTTTTTAAATCTACAAAAGATATATTTAATATTTTAAGATCTTTGTAGAATAAGAAAAAATTCTAAAAAATCAAACATTTGGTAATGAAGAAAGTATCTCTATATTTTTAATTTAAAAATGTATTTGGAAAACCAAGGGGGTATCTCTTTATTTCTAGTTTGAGATCTCAAACAAATATGAAAGTTCAAAGACATATATCTTTATGTAAGTGGCTAATCTCTTTTTATATTTAAAGTTTACTTAGAGCATTTCCAGCCGTTAGGAAAGTTGAGGGTATTTTAGAAAAAAAAATATTAGTTTTAAATTAATGAAAAAATCTAAACCAATAACAAAACAATACATATTAAATGAGTTTGTTAAAAATTTTAAAAATGTTTCTTACAAAAAGTTTAAGAAGCGTTCCTTCTTTTCTTTCTTAATTTTTATTATTTTATTATTTTTTAATTAAAAGACTGTGATAACAAATCAGCGATGAAGATGATTTTATGTTATTAAATTATATTAATACAGTATAACCTCTATAAATTAATATTCGATAAATTAATAATTACTATAAATTAATAATTTTTGCCGGTTCTAAGTCAAGCCAGTGTAAAAATTAACAAAATTCGATAAGATAATAAGATAATACTTTTTTAAAAAGTTCTATGTAAAAATATGGTTCTAATAATAATATAAATTAATAATTATATATTTAGACATATATTAATAATATAATATAGTAAACTATGATAATATTGTTGTTTCAAGTTTATAAAATTTGTTTGATTTATCTTCTAATTCATTATTATGACATTTTTGAATGAATTTTACATTGTTGAAAATATTGATTTTATTTTTTTGATGATTATTAAAAATTCAAACTAAAAATATCTATATAAATTAATAACTCTATAAATTAATAAAATTTAAGAGTTCCAACATTATTAATTTATAAAGGTTTTAATGTATATTATTCTTGAGAAGCGTATCTGCCGATAGAGATGCTTTTATGGCAGAATTATCAGTTGTTCTTGCATAATCATTGGCCAACATATATTTAACTATTTTTTTTTAGCATCTTTATTCTCGTTTCTCTATATATTAAGCATAGGATGATAATAGACAAGACACGATGTACCGCAGACCTTTGTGTCCACATAATAAAATCTCTCCAAGAAACGTACACCACACTTTTTGTTTGTTTAATGGCCCCTATCGTTTTCTCGTTTATTGATGTGAAAAGAGCAAAACTATCACAAAATTTCTCACATAATTTCAAATCTTAAAATTTGTACAGGTGGGTACAAGTTTTGGTATGCAATGAATGATCATATCTTTCGAATCTGAAGACAGAGTCTCTCACTTCAACGACTAAAACTACTTTTGGATTCATGATATAAAATAAAACTGAACGAAACGTCGTTTACAAAAAGATTGAAGTTCTCTCTCAATACTGTTAGACCATTATGGGATTTTTAATCTGATAGAACGAGACCTAAACTCCATAAATTGGCTTAACGATCACAACGGAGAGGTTAACAAATTAGCTAGATAGACACTGCTGAATTGTCCTTCTCCAACTTTTTCATCATGTTATAACGTTTTAAGGAAATTCCCATTATTAATCACAAAACATCTGAAAAAATTCTTATGGAACATTTTCGACCACGTCTTGTACAAACTTACGCAACGTAACGTTCGAAGATCCACCGTCCATCAACGCCACGTGGAGTTTATGGCTCATCTTCTTCACCTTCTTCCGCAACTCGCCGTCCTGTTCCATCACGCCGTTAATCCCTCTCTCAATCTCCTCGGCCGTTACAATCTCCGACTCTCCAACCATATTATCTCTCCGGTAATCTTTACGGATCTCTGCCGCCAAACCAAGCTCCTCCACCATATGAAACGCGTTAAACTGTTGTTCCGCGTAGATTGGCCACGCCGCCGTTGGAACACCGAACCAAAGACTCTCGAGGATCGAGTTCCATCCACAATGCGTCACGAACCCTCCAACCGCAGGATGCTTAAGTACAGCGACTTGTGGAGCCCACCTAATGATCTTTCCTACCTCAGCCGTCCGATCAAGAAACCCCTCCGGAAGAACCTCCTCCAAGTTCGTGAAATCCTCCGGAGGAGATGCCGTCATTTTTTCCACCGGCGAAGCTCGACGTAACGACCAGAGGAACCGGTGGCCACTTCGCTCCAGCGCCACAGCGGTTTCTCTCGTTTGTTTCTCACTGAAGCCTCCCATGCTCCCGAAGCAGAGAAACACAACCGATCTCGGTGGTTGCTCATCTAGCCACCGCAAAATCTCGGTTCGTTTCTCGTCGTTGGAATCGTTCCCATCAGTTTTGAGATCCAAAATGGGTCCCACCGCATACACTGGAGGAATGTTATTCTTGCTGGAAAAGAACTTCAACGCCCGAGGTTCCATATCCGCCACCGAGTTTACCAAAACACCCTTTGTTGCTCTAAAACTCCTAGCTCGACCTACAACATAAGGAAACCAATCTTTGCTTAACATCACGGAAGGTAAACAGTTCGCCGGGAAAGCCCGGGTCAGAGTGGGAACGTCAAACTCGGAATCGGTGTCCTTCAACTCGCTAACGTCCAGTTTCTTCTCGTCGAAAAGTGACTGAACGTGAAACTGCAACCCGAGATAGGAAGCGCTCGACGTGTAGAAGGTATAAACCGGGAGGTTAAACTCGTCGGCGATCTCTATCATCGACATGCAAAACATGTCCACGACAATCCCAGCGAGCGGCCGACCCCGAGCGAGTTCTGACACGGCTGCTCTGACGTGTGGTTTTTGGCTCTCGATGTAAGATACGAAGGTATGCTCGGTTGATTGATCTCCGGCAGGGAGGAGACAGTAGCGGAGACGGCCCTCGGACTCTGGGTAAGAGAAAGAAGCGTCGGTGGCGAATCGTGAAGGGATGACGATGAGAGTGACGGAGAGGCGGTCGTCGCTATCTACTAGAAGCTTTGCTAATGCCCTCGTTGATCGGATATGGCCGATGCCCGGCGAAGGTATGAACACCAGCTCGATTCCCATGACGTCTACTTTGGGTTGACACTATAGAATTTTCAAACTAACTAATATTGTGTTTTTTTTTAAGAAAGAACTTACTAATATTGTGTTGCAATAGACTTTGTGGGTTTGTGTATCACAAGCGTGGTTTCTTTTTTATAACCTCTAGAACATTCAGAACTGTGTAGTGGGTCCCATTTGCTTTTAACAGTTGAATTTAAAACATTGATGATTATAGGGAGAATTAGGTAGAAATATTGTACAAATTTTAAATAACAAAATATATATTTTTCATATGGAATATAAATATTTTAACTAGTCCCTCTTCAGTTTGTTTGACCATTGAGTTAATGGTTTAAAAATGCCGTAAAAAAAAGTTAAGAGAAATTTTTTCCAATAACATGAAAATAAATTTTAGTTCATAAACTAACATATATGTTAGAAAACTTTCACACTATAACCTTTTTCATATAAACTTACTATATTATTTTTATTTAAATAACATGTTGATTTAGAATTTCAGTATCACCATTGTTTTTGATTAGCTCCGATTAATAACGTTATCAATCAGCTTTGATAACACATCTTCATCAATCGATCTACTATATTCATCTTCTCTGATTCATCAATCTAATAGATATTTTCTGACGTATCTGGCAGGTTAGAAGAATCACGCGGTGACAGTCATAGAAACGCTTAGAGTTTTTAAGAGAGAAGAGTTTTTATGAAGTTTTTCCTATTACTTAGGAAGCCCTTCCTAAATAGTATAATCGTTTCTTAAACATTTCATACTATTAAAGAAGACTTTCCTACATATTTATGAATGCTATCTTAAACGTATAAGATCGTTTTCTAAACGTTTCATATTATTTTGAAAGGAAACGTTTCTTACTATTTAGGAAGATTATAAAATGATTATACATATTTAGGAAGACTTTCATAAATATATAGGAAGACTTTCATAAAACAATAATATACATTTATGAAATATTTATGAAATAATTATAAATATTTATGAAGATGATCCGAAAATATAAAAATCTTTTTCTAAAACATAAAATCAGAACAAAACAAATGAAAAATGTCACAGGGTGAATTTCTTTTAGCTTTTATGTTATTTTTGACCTGAAAACTTTTTTTTATGGTAATATAGAATTACTTTTAAATTAATGGTAAAATAAATATGTTAAACATTAATGGGAAAAATCACCAAAGCTAAAAAGAACAATAACGGAATTAAATAGTTTAGAGATGATCTCTAGCCTATTTGATAGGCTATTTTGTATTTTGTTAGAAGTAAAGGCCCATATAATACAGCCCAATTATGGCCTTTTAATGGGTTTCAGATTGACGGCTCCAGATCCCTCTGCTCCGACGAGGAGATCCTCATCGTCGACGGTCGCTGGGAAAAAAGGTTCCGCTTCGTTTCACCGGAAAGTATCATTCCAAATATTAATTTCCAAGTGATCGGCTGGCTTCGTAGATCAGGTGCGATATAGAGCTTAGTTTGCCTACGTATCTTTGTTGTTTCTACGATACGATGTTGGCTCTCCTTTGAAAACGAGCACAAGGTGCTCGACGAAATGTTAAGCCTTTTTCTTCCCATGTTTTTGATTATAGTTTTATTTAACTATCGATAAATTCGGCACTTTTTTTTCATAATCCTGCTCTAATGTAGCTGAAGCCAATTGTGAATAAATAGTTCTGCTTGTGTTGATGGAGGAATCGAATCATGGCTCAACCCGTTGATTTTTTTTTTCTTTTGAAACTTTTGAACTGTGAACACTGATAAATGAATCATATGATTACAAGATTTGAGTTTACCATTTTTATGTCTATTATTACATTCCTGATTTATTCTTCTCTGGTGTAGATTAATCTCGCTATGTCGAATTGGAAACATAGAGTGTGGCGACATTTGAGCTCGTTTCAAGGAGCTAGTTACTCAACTAGGCCATCAAGTTCAAGAACCAACAAATCAATGATTAACAACCTTAGAAAAATTCGGCCAATGATTCATAGGAGAATCGAGAACCGAGCAAAAGATTACCCGATCAATGAGATCATCCCTGTAGCCGAAGAAGTTCTTAAAGCCAGACGAAACCTTCTCACTTACGTCACCGTGCTTCTTAAACTCTTTCCTGTCCTGACATGCAAGTGAGTCTTCAGTTTCTTTCTTTCTTCCAAGCTATTGAATTCAAGAAAAAAAAACTCTGTTTTATACTGATAAAAGCTTCAAAAACTTTTCAGGTTCTGTTCAGAAGTATTTGTGGGGAAAGAAGGACATTTGATTCAAACATGCCGTAGTTACATACGTCGTGGCAACAACAGGCTACACGAATGGGTTCCAGGTTCCATAAACGATGTACTTGTCCCCGTCGAGACATTCCACTTACACAACATGTCTCAAGGTGTTATCAGACACCAACAGAGGTTCGATTACGACCGCGTTCCCGCGATCTTGGAGCTGTGTTGCCAAGCAGGAGCTATCCATCCCGAAGAGATCTTGCAATATTCAAGAACTCACGATCATAACCCGCGAATCTCGGACGAAGATATCAGGGGTTTATCCAGGGAAGACCTCAGATACGTCGGCGCAAACGCTTTAATGGCGTGGGAGAGAGTGAGAGATGGTGTGAAGAAGCTCTTGCTTGTTTATCCTTCGAAAGTTTGCAAACGGTGCAAAGAGGTTCACGTCGGACCCAGCGGTCATAAAGCTCGGCTATGTGGTGTGTTCAAATACGAGAGCTATCAGGGAACTCATTACTGGGAGAAAGCCGGTGTGAACGATTTGGTACCGGAGAAAGTGGTGTGGCACCGGAGGCCTCAGGACCCGGTGGTTCTTGTGGACGAAGGTCGGAGTTATTACGGACATGCCCCTGCTATCGTGAGCCTTTGTAGCCATGCCGGTGCGATTGTTAGCAACACTAAGTACGCTTGCGAGATGAAGCCCCAAGGTTTATCTTTTCCTTTCACTACTCATTCAGTTCCACCAAATCACGAAACGTAGAGAGCAAGTCTTCCGGTTTGTCTAGCTGTGATCATCCTCTGCTTCTTGTCCGGTTTTGTGATCGATTTTGGTTTTTGGCATCATGATAGTGTTTTTAGAAACCATACTAACTTACCAAGCCAGTCTTTATGTCTGTCTATTAGCATTGTAGTTTTATGTCTATTTGCTAGTCTCTGTAGTATCGCCTTGTGACTTAACACAATAAGACCTAAACTCCATCTGTGAATTGTGATACAAGGTTAGGTTACAGATATATTTGACATTATTCTCTCCCACGTCCATCAAGTATTCACCTAACATATGAAAAAGTTAATATTCCTAAGGAATATTTTTGACCACGTCATTAACAAACATGCGCATAGCAGCTTTCGAAGATCCACCGTCCAACAACGCCGCGCGAAGCAATTCCCTCGTCTCCTCGACCTTCTTCCTCATCTGGCTATCCTGCTCCATCACGCAGTTGATCCCTCTCTCTATCTCCTCAGCCGTCACTATCTCCGGCTCTCCCAACAGAGAATCTCTCCGGTATTCTCTCCTGATCTCAGCCGCCAAACCAAGCTCCTCCACCATCTGAAACGCGTTTAGCTGCTGCTCAGCGTAGATCGGCCACGCCGCCGTGGGAACTCCGTGTCACAAACTCTCGAGGATCGAGTTCCATCCACAGTGAGTCACGAATCCTCCTACGGCAGGATTCTCTAGAACAGCGACTTGTGGGGCCCAACCGATGATCTTCCCGGTCTCAGCAGTCCGATCAAGAAACCCTTCCGGGAGAACCTCCTCCAAGTTCGTGCAATCCCCGGGAATAGTTCCCGCCATTATCTCCTCCGGCGACACGAGGCGGAGCGACCAGAGAAACCGATGGCCGGTTCTCTCGAGCGCCACGGCGATTTCTCTGGTTTGTTCTTCGGTGAAGCCTCCCATGCTCCCAAAGCAGAGGAACAGCACGGATCTCGGCGGTTGCTCATCTAGCCAACGCAAGATCTCCGATCCCTTCTCATCATCGGAATCATTTTTAAAACGCAGGATGGGTCCCACCGCGTACAGCGGAGGAGTATCCTGATCCTCGCCGGAAAAAAACTTAAACGCCTGAGGTTCGATATCCGCCAATGAATTTACCAAAATACCCTTTGTTCCTCTCAAAGTCTTTGCTCGGCGCAAAAGATTAGGAAACCATTCTTTGCTCAACATCACAGACGGCAAGCACATAGCCGGAAGACGCCGAGTCAGAGCAGGAACGTCTAACTCGGTGTCGGAATCTCTCAAATCCGTCACGTCAAAGTTTTCTTCGTCGTGAAGGTGTTGAACATGGAGCATTAGCCCGAGATACGTAGCGTTGGATGTGAAGTAGGTATAAGCCGGGATGCATAACTCTGTGGCGATATCTATCATCGGCGTGCAGAACATCTCCACCACAATCGCAAGGCGACCTTGCGACACGCGGGCGATTATGCAGACGGTTCTTCTAACAGTCGATTTGTGGCTCTCGAGGTATGATATGTAGGTCTGATCAGGGTCGTTACTCGATTGATCTCTGGTGGGGAGGAAGCAGTAGCGGAGACGGGATCCGGACCGAGGGCAGGCGGAGGAGATGTCACCGGAGGAAACGTTGCGCGCAGGGATGACGATGATGAAGATGGATACGCGGTCGTCGTTGTCGACGAGAAGCTTTGCCATTTCCGCCGTTGATCGGATGTGGCCGATGCCAGGCGAAGGGATGAACACAAGCTCGATCATGACGTTGACTTTTCGTTTCTCTGCTGTTCGAATCCAATTGGTGTGCTTGTTTTGAAATCTTATTCTATGTTATGGTACACTTGTTAACAAAAAAGAATAATATGTCATTATTTATGACTTTTTTGCAAAACAAAATATTCGATTAATATGTGTCTGCTATTTGATCATCCAACAGTGTGTTATTCCATTACTAATATGACATCTGCGTCATAAAACCAATGATACGAAGGAGCACAAAAAAAAAAAATGAGCAAAGAAGATTTATCTTGTGGCCGAAGAAATCCTTAAAGGTCGAACAAAATACTTGCATGTTTCCTGTCCTAAGTCGTAACGTGCAAGTTTCAAATTTTGTTTTCGGAATGATTGAATAAAGAACTCTGGTTTTTTATATCTAAGTTTGTAAAAAAAAAAATGAAAAGAGTTTAGATTCTGCCCAAAAGTATCTGTTTGCAAATACTGTAAAGTTCATATAAATCTCAGTCATAGCAAAAAAAAAAAAATTGAAAAAAGATGAACGCAATTTTATCCAATGACTTTTGTAAGTGAATCCTTCAGTACATGCAAGTAGAAAGAATTAAAGAGTTACTTATTTGCAAATTACAGAAACAAAATCAAAGACTTAATAATAATATTTCGGATTGGTTTCTCTTTTTCCAGTTGACTTTCTTCCTTCAAGACATATTCACGATCACGTCTTGAACAAACTTCCGCATAGCAGCGTTCGAAGATCCACCGTCCATCAGTGCCACGTGGAACTTATCGCTCATCTCATTGACACTCTTCCTCACCTCGCTACCTTGCTCCATCACACCGTTGACACCTCTCTCAATCTCCTCCGCCGTCACCATCTCCGACTCCCCTAACAGATTATCTCTCCGGTAATCTTTACGGATCTCCGCCGCCAAACCAAGCTCCTCCACCATCCTAAACGCGTTAAACTGTTGCTCAGCGTAGATCGGCCAGGCCGCCATTGGAACGCCAAACCACAGGCTCTCGAGGATCGAGTTCCATCCGCAGTGCGTCACGAAGCCTCCTATCGCCGGACTCTCCAGAACGGCGACTTGTGGGGCCCAGGTGATGATCTTCCCAATCTTTGCCGTCCGATCAAGAAACCCCTCCGGGAGAATCTCCTCCAAGTTTGTGAATCCTCCTGGAGGGGATCCCGTCATGATCTTTTCCACCGGAGAAGCTCGACGGAGCGACCATAGGAACCGGTGACCGCTTCTCTCGAGCGCCACAGCGATTTCTCTCGCTTGTTCCTCACTGAAGCCTCCCATGCTCCCAAAGCAGAGGAACACCACCGATTTAGACGGTTGCTCATCTAGCCACCGCAAGATCTCTCTCTTCTTCTCATCTTCGCCGTCGGTTTTAAAGTCCAAAAGAGGTCCCACCGCGTAGAGAGGAGGAGTAGAGTTCCCGCCGGAAAAGAACTTCAACGCCTGAGGTTCCATCTCAGCTACCGAATTTACCAAAATACCCTTTGTTCCCCTCAAAGTCGTCGCTCGACGCAAAAGATTGGGAAACCATTCTTTGCTTAACATCACAGACGGCAAACAACTGGCCGGAATACGCCGAGTCAGAGCAGGAACGTCTAACTCGGTGCTGGAATCTCTCAACTCGGTGACATCGAAGTTTTCTTGGTCGTGGAGGTTCTGAACATGGAACATAAGCCCGAGATACGAAGCGTTGGATGTGAAATAGAGATAAGCAGGGAGGCCGAACTCATCGGCGATATCTATCATCGGCGTGCAGAACATCTCCACCACAATTCCAGCGAGCCGTCGTGGCGAGTCGGGATGAGTCGACACCTCTTGGGCGAGTTTCGAGACGGCGTTTCTGATATGAGGTTTGTAGCTCTCAATGTAGGAAATGTAGGTCTGATTTGGATCTTGAGTCGATTGATCTCCGGCGGGTAGGTGGCAGTAGCGGAGACGGCTTTCGGACTCAGGGTAAGCAGAGGAAATGTCAACGGAGGAGAAGCGGTCAGGGATAACGATGAGGGTGACGGATAGGCGGTCGTCGCTGTCGACGAGGAGCTTTGCCAGCGCTGCTGTTGATCGAACGTGGCCGATTCCCGGCGAAGGTGTGAACGCAAGCTCGATTTTCATGTCGTTGACTTTTCGTTTCTGCTTCACGAATCAATAACTTGTTGTGTTTGTTTGTTTGTGCCTTTGTAATTTTCAGCTATGGGGTTTTTTGGTACGGCCCGTATTTGATGACCCAAATTTGGTCATCTAATGGGTTTTAGATTCTCCGAATATAAAAGTTTCCACGTCCATTTGTTGTTCCCACAATATGATGAATTCAAATTTGCTGGATAAATGTCTTAAGGAAATGTTTAGTTTTCATATCTAAATTCCTCTCTTTTCGAATTAAGTGACATAGTTCGATTTGAGTTTGGAGTTTGGAGTTCATTGTTTTCGATTTGTTAATGATAAAAGGGGCCATAGGTCTAAGTTTACTACCATTTAAAAAACTTTTGCATGGAATATTCTTAGCTTTTATCATCTAAACATCCACGAAGATTTCATATATTTAAGTTTTGAGAATTGAATTTCTCAAGGTTTGATGAAAAACTAACTAATATGAGATGAGTTTGTCTAGGGAAATTAAATTTGGTCAAGTTTGGTTGAGTTCGTTAGGCCCACTAAGTTCTAAAGCCGGCAATTGGCCCAGCTTCAGTTAAGGTTTCTTAGTTTCTACGTCTTTCAATCATCAAATCGTTAACCGGATAAACGAATGGGTTTCAGGTTTACATGAATTTATCAAACTTGAACTCCAAGTTTTTACGTTTATTCAATAAGCACATTGCGCCCAATCGTTTGTGTAAGTGGACATTATCATAAAACTGTTAAGCTGCAATTTCAAGTCCATCGGTCGATTTAATTCGTGTTAGTAGTTAATCGGTTATATTTGTCCACCATTAACCGGTTACTTTGAACTGTTAAACAGGCAAACCCATTTGATAAAATAAATAAAAGGAACTGGCAATAACCATAAATCGATTGTATAACAATAAGCACTTTGCAATTTATTCTTAATCTCGCTAAGTATTTGAATCTACGCGTTGGATTGATATATGTGTTGGCTTGAGGTTTCTCGCATAGCTAAACCAGAATGTGTTATTGAGTTAACATCATCGAGTGTTCTAAAGTTAGCACAAAGCCCATCCTATGGCACACCTTCCAATGTCCAAGTTTCGATGTAAAAGCCAAATGTATATTTATCTGTTTACATAATTTAATTCCATTTCCCTTGGAAACTAAAAAAAAAAGTAGAAAATATGTTATCTTTTTATAGTGACGTAATTCCCGCCACGTTCATGTAGCTTCCTGATTTCATCAACGACCGGTTCTAAGAAGCATCCTCTCTTGTCCGTTTTCTCCTAAATAACGTAAACCGCTCTAACATTATACACTTGCCTCCTCCGATATATCGGATATGACGTTGAGAATACCAATGATATAACTTAGTGGTTAGTTGGTTTTGACACGAAAATTGATGTAACTTAGTTAGATATGGATATGTAATGAAGAAACCATCCATATAAGTATATAACTCAACCAAAAGCACACATCATTCTTAAGAGATTATTAGAAACATCACATTTAAGATACGCAGAAAGATATATTAAACATGAGACATATGAATCTATTCATTGCCAATTGTTTTGATGTATAAAGAACACACGAACATTATCACTTTATGTTTGTATTTGAATTTATATACTTAATTTTATGTTTACACACACAATTGGCTTTGTAATATATTATCAAAACATCATTACAAATTATTAATAAATAGACATCTTTTCAATAACCGAAATCCGAACAAACCCCAAAACATTACAAATGATTTATATCAAACTAAACAAAGTTTATTTTAATTAATTATTTTTATTGTTACAAAAAAAAATTGCAGAAAACGCCAACATCCAAATTGAATTTCTCTACTAGGCTACTAGCACACTGATTTGGGGAAAAATAAATATTGTTTTGGTTTGTGGGGTCATCAAATAACCAAAATTAGAATAATAACTAAAAGAAAAAGAAAAAAAGGAGGTGCAAGGAAACGGACAGCAACAAAATGGAAAGATAGGATTGCCAAGTCGCATGCAATATGCGAGTCCATTCAAAGCAAGATAGGGTTTATCTATATTCCTCGGGAAACATAACTCTTTTGTTTTGAAACTTTTTTCCATGTTGAAGATACGATTTTAGAAACTTTACCCTACTAAGTATATAATTACCAAATACGTAAAAGAATTTAACCGAACGAGAAGGTTTTTGGTTAAATTCTTCTACGTGCTATACTTATAATAGCTGGTGAACAATACGTATAAGCACTGATTAGTCCAAATCGTGAACGGATTTAAGTTATGGAACTTTCCAATATGCATAAAAGATGTAATGTATGTTATACTAAAAATGAAAAATATATTTGTGCTTCGATTTTGGAACTAGTTGATCACCACCATCTAAAAAATTCCGCACCTTTTTGCAAAAATAGTATCGAGTAGTATAGGATTCGATCTTAATGTATTGAATCTTCTAGGATACGGGATAGGTAAGGTAAAAGTTATTTCACTTTTATGCTGCTAAGTTTTTTTGTATGGATGAGTAATTCTGTAATTGTGTATGGTATGATAAATACGTATGACAGTTTTAACTTATAGTAATTGTTTACCAACACGAATGTTTAGTAGTTTCTTATTGTTATGTAAGCATACAATGCTATTATGCCTTTGGTAACGATTATCAATAGTTGCTAATATTATGCAATAACTAATCTGCATTTTGCAAGTTTATTGATCAAACGTGTGAGGTTGGTAAGACGACACGTTTGGAACAATTTTACATGTATAGAAGTCTCTCGAAGACTATATACAACGTAAGAAATTCGTGTTCTTTCTTAATTACACCCACTTCGACTGTTAGAGCGAAACTAGCCTACACATATACTCATTCGGGTGACATCTATGATTACTATTACTTAACTGATTAATTATATGGCAACAAGATATCAGGCCATTCATTCTTACATGGACGGATGGACCGGCACATACATCTGGCTGTATATATTAGAAACCGTAGCATAAATCCTTGTGCAACTCTTGGTCGTTCGCACCAGTCTATATACACGTCACATTTGTTTTTTCTAATGAGATCAAAAGAAAGAGACAATCAAGGATGTCAAATGATAATTCGGTTCTGCCATAATTCACTCGTACGTACGTGTCACAATTATCTAAGTTTTTAAAAATATATATTGTTAGGCCAACTTGGGAAACTTAATCACACCAGCACAAGTAAATCCTTTTTTCAGTAATATATATATATATATATATATATATATATAATTTTACAAAATTTATCTGTATTTTGTATATATACATTTTCATCAAATTAAATTTTGTTTTTTTTTGTTTTTTTAATTCAGAGCTTTAGTATATAAGGAGAAGAAGGCAAGAAGAGAAACATGCTTGAAGCTTCTCTAGTTTCATAGGTCCTTTCAAAGAAAAATCATTTCCAATCAATAAAAGTTGAAGCCATGGCTGCATCTTTCTCTGTCCCCTCTATGGTAAATAACAAACTAACAACACTATAAATATCTTTACATTGATGTTTCATTATCTTTTTGTCTTATTAATTTGATTATGTTGGCTACAACACACTAATTAAGATTAACACGCGAATGATTTATCAGATAATGGAAGAAGAAGGGCGATTCGAGGCGGAGGTTGCGGAGGTGCAGACTTGGTGGAGCTCAGAGAGGTTCAAGCTAACAAGGCGTCCCTACACGGCTCGTGACGTGGTGGCTCTACGTGGCCATCTCAAGCAAAGTTATGCTTCGAACGAGATGGCTAAGAAACTGTGGAGAACGCTCAAGAGCCACCAGGCCAACGGCACGGCCTCTCGCACGTTCGGTGCTTTGGATCCTGTGCAAGTGACCATGATGGCTAAACATTTGGACACCATCTATGTCTCTGGTTGGCAGTGCTCGTCTACTCACACCTCCACCAATGAGCCTGGTCCGGATCTCGCTGATTATCCGTACGACACTGTTCCTAACAAGGTCGAACATCTCTTTTTCGCTCAGCAGTACCATGACAGGTAAATAAGATTACGAAGTAATTTATTGAATGGCAACTATATGATGGCTAGTTGTGACTTTTCCTATTAGTAGATGCTTGATTTTGGCTGCATGCTATGAAATATAGTTTTGAACTGTGAAAATTAAAGTGTGGATTTAACCCAAAAAAGTAAAGTGTGAAGAATGAACTATGATCTCGAGTATCTTGTGTCAAAAAACATAAGTAGAATAATTATATTATGGCTGTTATCGGTGACGCCGTGACGGTGTGCTTTGATTATGAAATTGTTTCTTTAAGGTTTTACGTGGCCACGTGTTAAGGATAATTTGATGGTCTGTCAAACTTTACTTTCTACACGTTCTAATTAAGACAATTTTTCCGAATATACATGATAGGTTTTTTTCCTTTCAAAAAATAAAATAATTTGAATTTTGACCAATCCTACTATTCAGTATCCAATCCGACTAAGTACATTCAATTATGGATAATGTGAGACACTCCACATTGATGAAATATCTCAAGAAGTATTTAGACACAAAATAATATCAAAATGAGTCTATAAAGAAATGCAATGGCTATCTTTTATTTGAGAAATTTTTAGATATTTTTAAATATCTGCTAAATATTTATTTTTATTATTTTAACTCTTTTTATAATTGAAATTTAATTTATAATTATATTATATTAAAATATTAATTTGTTTTGTTTAAAATACTCAAAAAGATATCTCATAGATAAAAATGCTCGAAAATTTGTATTTTTTTTAATAAGAGTATATTAATTTTTTTCAAACAAAAAAAACTGTTTTACATCTAGTGCAACATTGATTTGAATATTTTTTTTTTTTTTTTTTTTTTTTATAACTAAACTGTTTTTTTTTGTAACTAGTGCAACATTGATTTGAAATTTTAATAGGAAAAACAATTTAAGCAGAGAACAAATCAACTTTTAATTGCTCTAAGATTTGTATAGTTACATGCATCCGGTTTTAATCTCCAAAAACACCGTTGTAGA